ATGAAGATACCTTTCCATCACGTGATATTTTGATCAAAAGATAGGTTGTGTGGAGGAATTGGGGCGGAAGGGCAGAGGCATCTCTCCTAGCCTATACTCCCTTTGCGAGCCCAAGCCCGGCTCACGAGTCATGTAGTGACCAGGCATCTGTCCAAACGCCATCGCATGAGCCTACTGATACCCGTTTGGCGTAACCGCATTTGCCAATGTCCAAAATAGCACCACCTCCGTTGGACGGCTCCCACGGCTCTCTCTTCCCTTAGCTTTCAGTAGGGCAACTACAAAAAATGCCAGCTACGGATCCTCCAGTCCGAAATTACCATCTTGCGGACGTTGGTAGATCTCATCTACAGCTCATCCTAGCCTCCCGGAGATTCATAAGGTCGTAGGTAGCACTCATTTTCATTCGTTTCAGTATTTCTTGTAATTTGTTTTAAGGTCAATAAACAAATGCTTGATCAATCACGATCTAAAAAAAATCACAATTGAGAAAAATATTCGATCCATTTTTTATCAGCAAAAACATTGTATTATCGTTTGTGTCAATTGGATTTTTCCGTTTTCAGTTAAAAATTAGCAAATTGAAAACAAGCAAAATCTAACTCAATAAAAAGTTCAAGCACATGCTTAGATAGTATTTTTGTTTAAGTTCACATTTGTGTCTACTTCCGAAAAAGACACTAGGGCATATAACCTTCTTGATATTGTTTACTAAACTAGCAAGGAGAGTGAGGTCGACCAAAATTTCTATGAGTCGGTCTAGTGCCAGCACTAAAATACCGGGGTTCTTATGTTGCCTATCCGTGGCCTTAGCTACCAAAAATATGTGTTTTCCTGGTATCAGGGGTCAGCAGTAGGGAGTAGTAATAGGAGGCAGTGCATCCCACCTACACCAGGCTTCTTTTTCCGAAAAAACTCTGTATTCTTATCCTCTTTTCTAAAGTCGGCCGCTTTTGTTGTTTTGAAACTTACATACGCGATTATCGTGATTGTGCTCGTGCGTTCGATGAGTATACAGTCACTGTCAGTCACAACAATGTAGTTCATGAATTGATTTGAGAGGTCAAAATACGATTCGAAAAACCGTCCGAATACCTGCTTCCTAGGGTTGTCTCCCTCCGTGTCTAGTTCTCCCGCTTCCTTTGCTGATTTCATTTTTTAATCAGGACAAAATGTTCATCGACGTCTCCATTGATTGACGAGGGACGAGCAGATTGAGGTTAGATTGGGAACGCATTATTGTCCATCTGGAGCAACCCTGTTGAATTCAGTAATGTCAAATCTGATGTATTTGATGCTGGATTGATCGACGTCCTGAGTTGTCAGTACTGTCTCCTTTGAATATGCAGAAGATCATGGAGCCATTCGAGTACTCGCAAGTTTGTTATTTCTTGGCAGATGCGAGTGCTCCTTTCGGGTTCGAACTCCACCTCTGATTCTGACCGATCAGATACGGTGTGTCTCTCTATCATCAATCAAGTCGATGTCATGTGAGACTTTTATCTCATCCAAATCAGCTTAGTCCGCATCTTTGAGTTTATCATAAATGTCCTTATCCAAAAAGAAGAAGCATCCTTTACTTCTGCCTGGTTAGCCTGTTTTTCTTCCAGCCGCTCTGAAAACCCTGTTTTTTTTAAGTAGCCCGCATTTTAGTGTGAATCGCAAGTCCGTTGCTAATTGATCATGTGATAGCGATTGAGACGTAATATCCAACGACCAAATGAACTGTAATCCATCGAGTACGTTTTCAGCTAAGCACGAACTCGATTTTTAACGCAGAGACTTTTGTACGCAGAGACTTTCGTGATCAGAGACTTTTGTAAGTGCCTGAGTAAGTGCCTTAACGCAGAGACTTTTGTAAGTACCTTAACGCAGAGACTTTTGTAAGTGCCTTAACGCAGAGACTTTTGTAAGTGCCTGAGTCATTAATCGTTGAAAAATGGCTGTCGCACCAAACAGTCAAAAAGGCAACAGCTTCCACTGGAACAGTCCCAGAACGTACACAAAGCCTGTTTTCTCTCGGTCCTGCCTCCTGAGCGTTATCTGCCAGAACGTAGAGCCAAAACCCAACGTCATGAAGAACTTCTTGTCTCCCAATTTCGAGAGGTTTTCATTAATGCGCGGTATCGGATATGCATCTTTGATTGTTACAGCGTTCAACTAGTAAAAATCAAAGCAAAATCTAAATTGTACCCATTTTTTCTCAGCCAAGACCACGCTACAAGCCCACGGGGTCTTAGATGGCTCATTCTTATCAAATCCCGCCAATTTTTTAACTGTTCGTTCGCTGTGAGGTACTGAGACCTCTCTTGTTCTAAGGTATTGTAACAACTAATGTCGTTCTTGTGTTTCGGAACAATTTCTGCACTCCAATTTAACACTTCCCTAAAGGAATCCAGCTCTTTGTCCAAAATTTTACAATTAAGGTGAACTCATTCGGGTTAGACTGCTTTGTTTGCTGCAAAATATGCGTCAGAGAGCGTCTCAGAAAAATTCGAACAGCTAGACAGCACATCATCAGTCTCTGATTTTATCGAAAAACCTTTCTTAAATTCAATTCATTCACTCTTCAATATACACTCTTTGTTAGCATGTAATGGACATTCAGTCAGTTTAAATTACGTCAAGTTCTTCATATTCTAGTACTCGGTGTTCAGAGGCAACTCATAATCAAGCTTCATTTACGCTTTTTGTTACTGGTGTTTCCTGGGTGTTCAACAACAAACTCAAACACAGTTCGTTTTGAGTTAGTGAAAAATTTCTTCCTGAAAAAAGCTCAGTTCTAACTATTTGGTTGGAGAACGAGACACACCTGTCTATTAATGCTAAGTTCATATAAATTTTTCATCCTTAACTTGGCTAAAACAGCTTGATTTGGTTTTTGTCTAACTTTTCGGTTTAGGAAAAATTCGCCGCAATAATCAAGGTTTTTTTGACTGGTTTTTTCTCTCGAGGTCATTAATTGGTATTACTCAAACAATGAGGTCAATCGTAACAACAAATTTGCGCACAAAATCGCCCTCCAAAATGAACTGTTCGGACTCATCCAGTTTCTCGACGACTAGGGACCTCATCTAGATATGCCTTCCATCAAGTTGCAGCGAGATGATCGGTGTCCTTCCAGCCACTTAAAAAGCCCCTTGGTTGACCACAGCTAGTCGGATGTTAGTCAGTATCAATCAGACTTGTCAAAGCCTATGTCGCTCCCAATGCTGAGAGCTGTTTGCCTTGCATGTCCAGCACATCTACTGCCAGATTGGCCTCAACCAATCTGGACTGCGTCTTACTTGAGCATGGCGTTATGCCAGATGCGTCGAACCTTCAGTTGTTTTTGTCCAAAGTAGATTTGACCCACTTGACTTTTCGCTTTTGGGCCTTGGTGTAGATATTGATGCCATCCACATTCATCAAGTTTGGGTAAGGGTCATAGACATCCATTTATTGTCCATCTGCCCTAATTAGCCTTGGTGGACCTGTTGTGAGCAACGACCTCACCGCTCTGGAAACGCCTTCACCGCATGGAGCACGGGCCTCATCGCACAGATTTCCAGACGAACCGAGGTGATCTTTGAAGGTTCACTAAATTTTTTTTACGATTTGATGACGCGCAACCAAAATCACCGATATTATTTTGCTACCTTCATCAGTCGTTCATAATGTCTTCTTCTTGAGATAATTTTTAATTTCAGGCTCTGGGGCACTTCCTTTTCTTTTATTTCCGCAGTCTTATCTAGGGTATCAGTTCTGTGTAATCTAGTTCTGACCTCACCCATTGCTCACTTTCTTTGGTTGCCAGATCTTATTGAACCTTTTACAATGCCTTCTGAGCCGCCAGGCCATAAAACATTTTGAGCTAGTTTAAGGCGACTGCTTGACTCTGCTTCATTCCTCAGACACGCTCGACTGGCTTTCACTCCGGATAACGCTTCTTCGTACCAATTCTTTTTTCACAGATACTACCGCGTACAAAAATGAGTTCAGTCTGACTTAAAATGCCCCTCAAAATTACGGAAGAAACATCGCGGGCCTTACTTCAAGATGAGACCGTGCTTCATGATGAGTCCTCTCACATAGTCCTCATCAGTAGCGTAAGTCATCTGGCGTAGGTACACAATCCGCTGATTAGTGAACTGAGTGACCAGCGTAGTCTTCAGCTCCTCGCTTCCCACCCGTCCATGAACTTCGATGCAATAGCCAGACTCCTATCTCAGAGTTTTTTGTCAGAATTATTTATGGTTCCCAGTAGTTCGAGGTCGTCCATAAACATGTCGATGGACTCGTCGTTTCTTTGGCGCCTTTTCAGCGATTGTCGGGATGAAACCAAAAGAGAAAGAGGACGTAATGCCGACGACAGAGAAATGCAAAACATTTGGAACAGTTTCCGCAACTACAACAAAGGCCAACCAAGACGAAGAGCAGGTCATCGATGGAGCAACGGCTAACCAAGAAAAAACAACTTCGCTTGAGCTGGGCGACTTGATGGCAAAGTTGGAGCAAATCGACAAGAAACTGAAATACAGTCGATGGACTCGTCGTTTCTTTGGCGCCTTTTCTGTGCCTGATGTCCGAACTTCACCATTGCCTGATGTCCAGATGTCTATGTACTCCGGAGCACAATTGATCCTGTGAAATCTCAAAAACCTTCTGAGTCCTGTCACATTCAATCGCCTTCTTCGCTTTTGGGTATACCTAAGTTACTTCGGAGGGTTCCTTTAGATTTCGATAAGAAGGGTTGTTAGGGGCTCGAGTCTTTTTTGGAGGGTCCCTAAGACACTTAAGTTACTTTGGAGTTTTTGTCAATTGTTTGCCAGAGAGAGTTATTAGGGGGCATATTTCACTCCGGATGGGGTTTCGTGAGGTTGCCTTAAATTTCCAAAACTTAAACCTTTTGCCTCAAGAGGTTTGGTGGGTTTCAAAACGACTTGAAGCAAGTTTACTTTTTTTCGGAAGGTTCCATTCAACTGCTTCGCAAGGTTCACAAAATTTTTTTTAACAAGGATGGTTGTTAAGGGGCTTAAATTACTCCGGTGGGTTGCTTCGGAGGGTTATCGGTCAAGGTTCCACGAAAATCGCTGTTTTTGACAAGCAAAGGCGTCCAATTACGATATAAGTTGCTGCAAACAAGGTTAGTTAAAACGGTCAAGGCTCCTTGTCAGCTAAAATTAAAATTTGGTGAAAATTTTTTCCCACTCAGTTGGTGCCTCAAACTTGGACTCTCCAAACTGACAAACTTTAAAAATTGTTTTCCGATCCTATTAACCTAAAAACGGCTATGAATTTTTAAAAAATCAGCAAAAATGTCGATATATGCTATCTCAGTTTTTCTGATCAGTAGTCTCTGAGAATTAAACAGAAACGAATTTGCTAAAGTGGGCGTCTTTTCCTACCTATTTAAGTTTTCAGTAATTTGCTTAAGTAATTCTTGTTGAAAGCGCTGGTCAAAACATCTGGTTAAAAAATCTCCAATCCTTTTATTTTACTAAATTAACCTCTCAATCGTTTTCTATAGATTATGTTAGCAAGCTTGTTGTTCAAAATTTTGTATCCCTTTATTTAAAAAACTTAAAATTCGATTTGAAGACATCTTGACGAAGCTTCAAAAAATCGCAAAAAATTTGATCGAAAAAATTACTTTCTCAACTTTTGATAACTCTTTCTCCGCGCGTTTCTCTTATTAGGGAGGTTGAACTTAGTTGTAGTTCAATGAGCAGACGCTTTTTCCGTCTGAAAAAGCTCGGAGATCTTACTATTACTAGTCGTTAATTAATTTTTCCATACCTTCTTTACACCAAAATATGCGTATTCAGAACCTTAACTTGGAAGTTCAACTGCATCGGTCCAATTGTGTCCCCCACAACCTTAGTTTAATAAAATAGTACCTATATAGATACCAAAACTAAGGCAACGATATCCATTAGACTTTGTTGATGTTGTCCAAGATGATTTTCGCCGTGAATGGTGCACGTCTGTCAGCTTATCGCTCTACCCTCCGGTCACCGGCGTAATTATCATCAACGTGCTTAAAAACTCAAACTCAACTCGAGGGAGGATACCTAACCAAAAACCAAAACGATCCAAACGCAAACCACACTATTTTCGAGTTTCCGATCGAGACTCATTCAAATCAATCTGAAACTCAACAAATAGAAAATCGAATCACATCTCGTCCGGAAACAAAATCTAAGTTTTGTTTTTTTTTTGGATTTTTATACATTTTTCAGTTTTTGTTCTTTTTGATTTTAATGTTATTTTTTTTTTCAGTTTGAAACAAAAAACAAAAAAAGATTGAAAATAGGAAAAAACTAAAAATAACTAAAAACTAAAACATAAAAAGGAAAGTGGCTTTGACTTCCAAATTAGGTGGATCAAACCTTCATATTAATTAAAATAGTATACCCATACCGTTTTCCAAAAAGACCGATCGTCTCGATCAAACCAGCAACGTTTTACAGGTGTCCAAGTGTGGAGCGTTGTAAAGTTTTCAGATAGCTTTTTATATCAGCGGACTACTGGGCGACTTGGCTGGAAGAGGTACCCAGCGAAGTGAGAAAGTGGACAACAAGGAGGCGTCACCACTGGGAGGTTTAACTGGAACAAACAGGTGACCAGCCCAGGGTGAAGGTGTGAACATCCGGCAGGTGACCAGTCAACAAAGCAGAACAGGGCAAACGGAAGAAAGTTGAAAGAGGTTCTGTTTGGTCAAACGGGTATCGTTAAAATCCATTTTACGTTTTAAGAAATAAGTGTAAAATTGAATAAGCGAATACCCACCGTTTTGAGAAAACGCTTTTACTTGAGCAGAGCTTGGAAACAGGTTCCACGGTTTTCTCTCGAGAGTTTTAGCACCAATCGCGCTTCGGGTAGTTTTCGGCTTTAGTGGGGGGCTAAATAGGGGGGGGGGGTGTTAGAAGGGGGGCTGGTTAAGATATAGGTTGGTGGTTGAAAATTGTAAAAAGGGGGAACACATTATAGTAACTATACAATCGATATCGTCGATTTAGTTACATTAGTAGACCCAGAGTCTGAAACAATCCATCTTTAGTTTCAGAACGAGAGTTGTAACGCGAGGATATCTAAAATTTAAGATCGAATTAGGGTAGGTAACCTGGTGGGATCGGGTGGGGGGATCGGCAATAGACAGTTTTTGGAACCCGAAAGGAGAATACCCCATAAGACCGTTATTAAGGTGTAGGAAAAACGCGGGACACTCAGGAACCAGACATTTTTTTTACGAATGTCGCCTTTGAATTTTGGGTGTACTCACCAGATTTTTTATATTTTTTCATTTTTCTCAGTCAAATTCTTTTATGATTTCGGATCAATTTTAATTGGCTTTTAAAGAATTGGAAATCATAAGGCACTTGCTAACAAGTCGTACTTCGAATGCGTCGGATTAATAAAGGGAAAGTGATTTCAGGGTGGTTAGCAGATTAAATTTTGATTAACAAGATTGGGTTCTGGGGATTTTTTAACACTAGAGCTCTAGAGGTGATACTGGGATAGTGGATCGGAATTTCCAATATTCGGAACAAGTTATTGGGGAAGTCATCAATCAGACGAAGAAACACTTGAGCTACGAGGTTGGAAGAAGTGCAAACAGTCTAGCTTACGGCCTTGGGATAATGATCTAAGTGTCCCGACACTCAGTCTTGGGATAGTGATCTAACAACCCGGGGAGACCCGACAGTCCCAGCAATCGGGCGAAGTCTCCTGGGAGGGTTCGGAAAGGTCCTGGGACAGTACGGAGTGACCAACACTCAAGCGAAGTCTCCTAGCAGGGTTCAGAAGGAGTCCTGGGACAGTACGAAGTATCCCAAGACTCGACCGAAGTCTCCTAGGAGGGACCACAGAAGTCCTGTGACAGTACGAAGTGTCCCAACACTTAAAGCGAAGTGTACTAGGAGGGTTCAGAGAAGTCCTGGGAGAGTACGAAGTGTCCCAACACTTAAAACGAAGTGTCCTAGGTGGGTTCAGAGGAGTCCTGGGACAGTACGAAGTGTCCCAACACTTAAAACCAAGTGTCCTAGGAGGGTTCTGAGAAGCCCTGGGACAGTAGCGAAGTGTCCCAACACTTGCGTGAAGGGTCCTAGGAGGGTTCGGAAAAGGCCTAAGACAGTACGAAGTGTCCCAAAACTTAAAGCGAAGTGTCCTAGGAGGGTTCAGAAAAGTCCTGGGACAGTAACGAAGTGTCTCAACACTCGAGCGAAGTCTCCTAGGAGGGTTCAGAGAAGTCCTGGGACAGTACGAAGTGTCCCAACACTTAAGGCGAAGTGTCCTAGGAGGGTTCAGAAAAGTCCTGGGAAAGTATTAAAGCATCCCAAAACTAGAACGAAGATTTAGAAGAAACCTTCGTTCTCAGCATCCCAAAAAAAAATTGACTTAGATTTAAAACTTTTTTAGACTGAATTCGACTGTTTTTAGCTTTTAATGCATTAAAAAATTTTTATAATTGAATCGGAATTTATATAGGGACTTATAAATATTAAATTTGTAAATAAAGAAAATTGTACATCAAAATCATGAAGCGAAATAGGGTATCGATAACTGAAAAAAGATTGAAATGACTAAAGAAAATCAAAGGTCGTCGCAACGGAAAACAACACTACCAAATCCGAAAGTTATGAGAAAGATTATTTCAGTGAACATGGTGAATACAAGAGGCGTAAAGGAACATAAGATCAAGGAGAAAGCTATGGAAGAACCAACTGTGCCGGCTAGAGAAATCGATCTTGAGACACCAGATCAGAGTGTTGACGGGGGTGGAAAGGAAAACCACGGAATCAACACCCATTCCAAATGCAGAAGAACAAGAAAAGAAAACGATAAAGTTCTCACCAATTGACATTGTGGACGATCCAACAAGCAACACGCCGGAAACGATAAGAAACGATTCTCAAACAAAAGAACGTCGTTCACAGAGAGAATTGCAGCGATTGTCGGGATGAAACCAAAAGAGAAAGAGGACGTAATGCCGACGACAGAGAAATGCAAAACATTTGGAACAGTTTCCGCAACTACAACAAAGGCCAACCAAGACGAAGAGCAGGTCATCGATGGAGCAACGGCTAACCAAGAAAAAACAACTTCGCTTGAGCTGGGCGACTTGATGGCAAAGTTGGAGCAAATCGACAAGAAACTGAAATACAGTCGATGGACTCGTCGTTTCTTTTGCGCCTTTTCTGTGCCTGATGTCCGAACTTCACCATTGCCTGATGTACAGATGTCTATGTACTCCGGAGCACAATTGATCCTGTGAAATCTCAAAAACCTTCTGAGTCCTGTCACATTCAATCGCCTTCTTCGGTTTGACCCAATTTATGCCCGTGACCTCTAGATCAATTGTCAGCTTGCTGCACTCTTGTTTCTTCGATATATTTTCCTCTTCGAAGTTGAGCTTCATCACTACTAACCAGGTGTCATGGCAGCCGTCCGACTCGTTCGTACAGGTTTTTGGCTTTTTAGCGTCCACCGTGATCAGTCTCCATTTTCATTGGACTTCGAATATATATCAATACTCAATTAGTTCCCAAAAAATTAAGGAGTGCAATTTCGCTTAGGACGTACAACCGGCATGAGAGTAGGTAAAAATTGATACTCTTCTCAAGTGATGTTTTGAACCTAATGCACCCACTGAGGTCTTCTTCGATGTATTCCCGGATTTCCCGAGCTGTCCAACTAATTAGCTCAAGGCAACCACCCAACCAAAATAACAATCGTAAAAATGTTCGGGCTCTTTGATAAGCACGATCTAGAAACCAAAGTTGATCCCGAATTTTCAAAACAAATAGTCTTTTGAATCATAAAAACACATGTTCCTAAAGCAGTTAACTCTTCTTTCTTATTCTCAAAGGTTTTGAGTATACCTAAGTTACTTCGGAGGGTTCCTTTAGATTTCAATAAGAAGGGTTGTTAGGGGCTTAAATTTTTCGAGTCTTTTTTGGAGGGTCCCTAAGACACTTAAGTTACTTTGGAGTTTTTCTCAATTGTTTGCCAGAGAGAGTTATTAGGGGGCATATTTCACTCCGGATGGGGTTTCGTGAGGTTGCCTTAAATTTCCAAAACTTAAACCTTTTGCCTCAAGAGGTTTGGTGGGTTTCAAAACGACTTGAAGCAAGTTTACTTTTTTTCGCAAGGTTCCATTCAACTGCTTCGCAAGGTTCACAAAATTTTTTTTAACAAGGATGGTTGTTAAGGGGCTTAAATTACTCCGGTGGGTTGCTTCGGAGGGTTATCGGTCAAGGTTCCACGAAAATCGCTGTTTTTGACAAGCAAAGGCGTCCAATTACGATATAAGTTGCTGCAAACAAGGTTAGTTAAAACGGTCAAGGCTCCTTGTCAGCTAAAATTAAAATTTGGTGAAAATTTTTTCCCACTCAGTTGGTGCCTCAAACTTGGACTCTCCAAACTGACAAACTTTAAAAATTGTTTTCCGATCCTATTAACCTAAAAACGGCTATGAATTTTTAAAAAATCAGCAAAAATGTCGATATATGCTATCTCAGTTTTTCTGATCAGTAGTCTCTGAGAATTAAACAGAAACGAATTTGCTAAAGTGGGCGTCTTTTCCTACCTATTTAAGTTTTCAGTAATTTGCTTAAGTAATTCTTGTTGAAAGCGCTGGTCAAAACATCTGGTTAAAAAATCTCCAATCCTTTTATTTTACTAAATTAACCTCTCAATCGTTTTCTATAGATTATGTTGGCAAGCTTGTTGTTCAAAATTTTGTATCCCTTTATTTAAAAAACTTAAAATTCGATTTGAAGACATCTTGACGAAGCTTCAAAAAATCGCAAAAAATTTGATCGAAAAAAGTACTTTCTCAACTTTTGATAACTCTTTCTCCGCGCGTTTCTCTTATTAGGGAGGTTGAACTTAGTTGTAGTTCAATGAGCCGACGCTTTTTACGTCTGAAAAAGCTCGGAGATCTTACTATTACTAGTCGTTAATTAATTTTTCCATACCTTCTTTACACCAAAATATGCGTATTCAGAACCTTAACTTGGAAGTTCAACTGCATCGGTCCAATTGTGTCCCCCACAACCTTAGTTTAATAAAATAGTACCTATATAGGTACCAAAACTAAGGTAACGATATCCATTAGACTTTGTTGATGTTGTCCAAGATAATTTTCGCCGTGAATGGTGCACGTCTGTCAGCTTATCGCTCTACCCTCCGGTCACCGGCGTAATTATCATTAACGTGCTTAAAAACTCAAACTCAACTCGAGGGAGGATACCTAACCAAAAACCAAAACGATCCAAACGCAAACCACACTATTTTCGAGTTTCCGATCGAGACTCATTCAAATCAATCTGAAACTCAACAAATAGAAAATCGAGTCACATCTCGTCCGGAAACAAAATCTAAGTTTTTTTTTGGATTTTTAAACATTTTTCAGTTTTTGTTCTTTTTGATTTTAATGTTATTTTTTTTATTTTTCTCAGTTTGAAACAAAAAACAAAAAAAGATTGAAAATAGGAAAAAACTATAAAACATAAAAAGGAAAGTGGCGTTGACTTCCAAATTAGGTGGATCAAACCTTCATATTAATTAAAATAGTATACCCATACTGTTTTCCAAAAAGACCGATCGTCTCGATCAAACC